GCCTTCTTCATGGCATCCAAATATCTTTTTGTTGTTTATTGCTATTTAAATTACATTTTAGTGAAAACACTTTCTCACCATCTTTAAATAAAAATGACTTGGATTTTTTAATGTGAAATTGCTCTGGCATTAGGCCTTAATTGCCTTGTGGCCCAGAGAGTTTAAGGGACATCCCACTACTAATTCCCCAGTGCTCTTGAGACACGTGTTACTATGTCCTCTGGAGGAAGTCCTTGTGGCAATTTCAGGGGCTGAATTCTCATAAAATGTTTAACTACTTTCAGTTTTGCATTCACTGAAGGGACATTCCTATGAACTCGAGGAGTATTTGCTGCTTCTAACCCAAGCATCTCTATTATATCTTTTTCCCCAATGGACATCTTTTTGTACTTTTTATTCTGGCAACAATTTGCAATTTATGAGGGTGCTGCTGATCCCTACCATACTTTTCACAAGCTGCAGGTGGAGGCTGAAACACTTTATCTGGAATTTCACTGACTTGGTAAGTTTGTGACGAATCCACTCTATACAAATGAAAGACTCCACACTTCTGTCTGTCACCCTCTGTAGTCTGCCTGGGGGTCCCTGGACTGCTGAGTGCATGGTGACGCATGCCACGCACGGTGACAGTTCTCTTTAGAGGCAACAATTACTAAGTGTTGTCCAGGCTGAACTTATGTGCCGAGGGGAAGTTGAGCAGGACCACCAAGAGAAACACTCAAATCCTGCTGTCATATATACACCCAACCTTCAAACTCGCACCCAAATATCTTATTTGACTAACTGCATGAGTCACTTCCTCATCCTCCCGCTCCTGTCTCAAATCCTATCTCTCAGCCACCACTCTCTGCTCTGCTACCAGTCATCTTCCTAATCATATTGCTGTCCTGCTTGATCTTTCCAAGCCTCCCGAGTGCCCACAGGATTAAAAACTATGAGTCCCTTAGCAGAGTCGCCACCTGGTCCAGCAGACTGCAGCTGCTTACCATCCCCAACCCCTCCCCACATCCACTCTGAAGAGATGCAGGTTCTTAACACATACACGCCTGTCACCGCACTCTTCTGGCTAATTTCCACATGTACTTCAAAACTCAGCTCAGGAAACCCTTCCTCCAGGAGCACCATGCCTGATCCAGTCCCAGCGGAATAAGACGCCCTCTCTTAAGTGCTTTCATGGGTCCCTGTGATCATCTCTATGCTAGAATGACCACACCTGGGCTGACTGGGACCTGTCTTTCTCCCCCCACCATCCTGGATTCCCAACTTTGCATCCCCAGGACCCTGTCTAGTGTCTGGCATGGAGTGGTGCTCAATAAATGTTTACTGAATAAACACATCAGAGTAAATAAATCTAATAATGCTTAAAAACAAACAATGTTAGCTGTAGAATTGGGAGTTAAATAAACGGTATTCTGATTTTTCCATATGTTTGAATTCTTTTCCCCAGTACTATACATTTACAATAAGTGCAAATTTACTTTCAAATAACACATACTACTTCACGGGTACTGCAAATACCTTAAAATAGCAAAATATTCCTAATTCTTCCTCCTGTCTCTTGTATTATTGCCGTCACTAATTTCACTTACTCGTAAATATACATAAGTGTATATACACTTATACAGTATACACAATTGAATGCACAATTGAATACACAATTGAATACAGTATACACAATTTTAAAACAACTATTATGTTAAATCAATTAAGAATAAGAAAGTAAATGCTTTTTTTTAGCTTTACTTTCATTTCTTTTTTGATGCTTCCTTTCTTTATGTAGAGTCAAGGTTCTTTTTATAATTTTGAGATTTTATAATTTGGAAAAATTTTATAGTATATCATGGGGGGGAGGGTAAAAGTAACACAAATAATATGCCCTGAAATGTCCATGTTTTTTTTTAAAATGCAAAGCAGGACCTCCCTGGTAGTGCAGGGGTTAAAGTCTCAGTACTATCAAGCTATTGCCAGCCACTGTGGCATGAGTTCGATCCCTAGGCAGGGAGCTAACCCACAAGGTGCAGCAGACCTCTCCTGTCTCGTCTGCCCATTGCTCCCCTCAGAAGTGTATTTCAGTAGATCTGCCTGTTCTGCTCCCTGGTGAATCCTCTCACCTCCTGCACCTCTGGCCTATACCCCATTTCTTATATGCATAAATAAAAATAAATATTCAAAAATAAATGCAAAGCAACAGAAGATTAAATCACACAACAGGACACTAAAAACAAGAAACAGAAAGAAAAACCATCCCCATTTCTTCAGTGCTCCCCTGGCTATGGTTTCCTATAATCCTCCCTCCCTCTCCAGGCTTCTCCTGGTTATCTGCCATTTCCCCTCCCACCTTTCCCTCCTGTCCTGCTGCCTGCAGCCCCTGACCTGTCTACACACAACTGCACACACACACACCCTCTCTCTGCCCTGATAGAAGTCTGAGGACAGTGGGTGGCTGTTCTTACCTGAAGGATCATCAGAGGCGGGGCCCACATTGATCTGGACAGTTTCAAATGGGAATGTTGGATCATCTCCCAGGAGGCAGAGTGGGGGTTCCAAGGATTCTGTCTTCACAACCAGCACATCCCCTGAGCCAGAGGCCTGGGTGAGAGTTGGGGTGAGGCAGGAGGGGTAAGAAAGGAAAGAAAATAAGGGAGGTGTTGAGAATAGGTGCAAGAACAAAAACATTAGAGTTTAGAAATCATCAGCATCTCCCTGAGCTATCTCTGGACCGTTGTTCTTTCTGCTTTAATCCTGAGAAGGTTGGTGAAGTCTCATAATTTCAAATATTGCCTTCAAGTAGGCAATTTAGTCAAGAACAGTTGCAAAATTCCCAGTAGTTAACAACTCTCTTCCTCTCACCCCACCTCGGCTACCACATAGCTCTTTATATTAAAGACTTCATCTTCTTTCTAGACAACCAGAGTGGAGGTGTAGCAAATGAGGATATTAAAGAAATGGCAAAGCAGGGAAGAAGCCCCCACATGACTCATCGCATACAAATCATTTCCTCACCACCTCAGGCTGAAGGAAATGGAGCAGAATCCCTGCCACAGAGCAGGCGTGAGATGGCTCTCTTACCTGGCTGGTGGGCTCTGTAGAAAGATGTGATGATTCTGAGCTGAGAGAGGAGGAAGAGCAGGGAGAAGATGGCTCAGACTTCACCTGAAGATCTGAAAAAAAAAAGGGGGTTAGAAAGTAACCAGGAAGGGGCCTCCCTGGTGGGGGAAGAGGCAAGTGTCTGCACTACGAAACTATCCGCATCCACTACAGCACGAGTTCGATCCCCAGCCAGGGAGGTGACTCTCATGGTGCAGCAGCCCTCTCCTGTCTCACCTGCTGCTCCACTCAACAGTGTATTTCAGTGGATCTGCCTGTTCTGCTCCCCACTCTGTCTCTGTGAATCCTCTCACCCCCTGCACCTCTGGCCTGAACCCCAGCTCTTGTATGCATAAATAAATAAATATTAAAAAAAGAAAGAAAGAAAAGAAAAGAACCAGGAATCAGAGTCTGACAAGAGTCTAAAGGACCTGGGGGTGGGCACTCCTCACCAGGGCAAGGGAGAAGAAATGCATGTAAGGGGTTAGAGGCAGGAGCACGCAGGCACTCAAATGGAGAAGATATGAGGATAGGGGTAGCTATGTAGCTCCTGGGAAACAGGGGGAAATGAGGGCTTCCGGGAGGATGAGGGAGTCAAAGGATCTTACCTGGGAAGATAGGCAGGGAGTCCCACGGGGGCTCAGGGGGGCTGACATCCATCCCCACGTCCAAGGAGCTGCTGCCAAACTGAATAGGGGAGAATATTAGACTGCAGGAATGTGAGGGAAAAGGGGTGGCTCCAAATGAGCTCTGACCTGGGGATGAGTCCTGGTTCTGGGACCACTCCCACCCACTAAGACAGGGCTGGGGGTACAATACCGGGACATCTTGCTCCGGACAACGGAAAAGTTGCGCCTGCTCGTCGGCCACTTCATCTAGGCCAGTGTACAAGGTGCTGTCTGCAAGAGATGCGGCGTGTCAGAGGGGTCGTGGCGATGCAGCTTACAGATCCACACACAGGCCTCACCCCATTCCTCATTGGCTCGGCTCAGCCAGACCCACCGCCCGCCCACTTGAAAAGTGATGCGAACAGCCAAAGAATTTCAGGCCCTCCCTCTCCGACCCCGGAACAACTAGACGTTTCCGCATGGGGTGGAGGTCTTCCCCAACTCCTGCATCACCCCCAAAACACAACGAAACCCCCTGCTCCGCCCTCCTTTGGATGATGGATTCCGTATCTGCCCAGCCTCCCTCTTTGGGCCGCTGCTTCGTTCCCGAGTGCCTCAGGAGCACTGCATGCTACAGCCCCCTCTCCCCTCCCCCAGGCCCCGCGCCGCAGACCCCAGTCCTCCGGGCTCAGCAAGTTGTCGGTGAAAAAACGCGTCGGGTCCGCAATCTCGCTGAGGAGCATCAGCTCCGCCATCTTTCCCCCCCCCCCCCCCCAACCATGAGACTGTTCCCAAGGCCCGCCTCTCCCCGTCAACTAATCAGTTGACTCTTGAAAAAGTGGGGGCGTCCCGGAAGCCCTACCGACCAGTAAGAAAACTAGGTGCTGAGCACATGAATCAATAGAAGAGGCGGCCGTACAGGCCGGGCCAATGGGAGCACGGCAGGAGGCGGCAAGCGCTTCCCCAGTACGGGCTGCTACCTTTGCGCATGCGCCAAGCCGGACTCGGCGCTAGAGAGCTTGGGAAATGTAGTTCTCAGCATTTAAAGGGCCCCCATCTCCCCCAGCTACTCCTAAATTTAGACGTTTAGGTAACTTCTAGACATCTTCAGAGATGGATAGCCCCTCAAAACGTAGTATACGTGACCCATATGGATTTTTAATGAGAAAAAAGAAAAGAGGCACACCGAGATCATTGCTACCTCCTGTAAGAATACAGAAGCTGGGAATGGGTTATAGGCTGAAACCCTCCCTCTCGAGTCACCCCCAAAATCTCACAGCACAGACCACAATTCACAGGCTCCTGTCTCTTTTACGGTTTAAATTTTAATCAGCCAAACATCTTGCGCAGACCCTGAGCCAGCCCTTCATCCTGTTTCTTGGCCTTAATGATCACCTTTCCCAGCTCCTCCTGGGCTGCCCGGTTTTGGGGGTCTAACGCCAGCACCTTCTTGAGGTCAGCAATTGCTTTGTCCAGGTTCCCAAGGGCAGCCTGGGCAACGCCCCTTCGGTACAAAGCCTTTAAATGGTCAGGCTCCCGCTCCAGCACCCGGTCACAGCTCTGAGCTGCCAAAAGGGGCAGTCCTAGCAGCAACTGACAGGCAGCCAGGTTGGCGTGAAGGGCAGTTCGTTCTGGAGAGCCAGGTGGGGGTAAAGTCAGCAGCAGGCGAAGAGCTCGTCCATAGCATCGGGCAGCCCCTTCAGGGTTACCAGCTCGAAATAATTCTGTGCCCCTTGCACGTTCTTCCTTGGCCAGGGCCTCCTTTTCGCTGGCCTCCAGTTCCCAGGAGTCCCGCCCCTGAGTGAAGGAGGCCAATGTGAGCCTGACAGGAGGCCCGGAGTGCCCAGGGAGATGAAGCTCTGCCTCTTCGCCTTGACACATGGACTCCAAGCATTTCTCTATGAGATCACCCCAAGTTTCCTCCCTCCATGAACCTAACCCCACAGTTAGCTCTATCGAGCCTTCTGGCACCCCTGGCCCAAAAGGAAGCCCAAAAACCAATACCCGGCAGACAGAGCCCAGCTTGGGTTTGTCCAAGCCTTGGCCACGGATTATTATCTTCTTGACAAAGCTCCCATCGGGGCAATGCCACAGATCAGAAGTTTGAAGGGACTCTGGCATCCCACTGGCTGATTCACGAAATTTATCAGAGTCTCCTTCAAGTCCAGGAGCCAGTTCTCCAGTCCCTTGAGGATTCTCTAGAATTTGACTGGCTGGATCTGGACTCACTCGCGACTCAAGGATTTCAGTAGGTGGGGTTTGGGGCTGCTGCCTAATCTGAGTAGTTGAATCAAGGTTCTTCGGGGTTTTTTGCCCCCCTAGTCGCGGCAGAGAGGGGTTCGTCTCTCCCACTGGACTGACTGCAGGCGTCTCCATTCATCCGCCTGGTCCTTTCCACCGTGGGTAAACAGCTTGGTCGGAATAGGATGGATCAGGTTTGGATCAGCACCTAAAAAAAAAAAAGCAAGACAATGCCAATAGCAGGATTCTTATTTTTGCACGTTCTGGGACCCGTCCCTTAACATCCTATTGGTGTTTTTGGGTTTTTTTTCCTCCAAAACCTCTCTCCTGCTGGAAACTCCGTTCCACCCCAAACCGATCCAGAACTCTAATTTCCACAATTCGCCGCGGGGCGGGGAGCCGCCTGAACTACGGACACCCGGTCGGGTCAAAACTATGCGAGCGGCCGAAGCGCCCAGCCTGGCCGCGACTGCCGGACCCCTGGCATCGCCTCTGCTTCCGAAGCTAAGGGCTTACTGCGGCGGCCTTCGGAGGCGGGCTCCTGGAGACGAGGACGGCCGGGGGAGCGAGGGGCCGCGGGGCGACACTGACAGCTCGCCCTGGACCCGCGAGACAGCGAAGCGAGTCAAATTCCTGGCAGCCAATGGGGAGGAAGCCGTCTGGTTAGCAGCCCGCCTTCAGGCCGTGACTTCATCCCACCCCACCCGCCACCCGGAAGCTCTAAGCCTTAGCAACCGAACTGGGCCGGGTCGAACCCGTGGAGGCGAGGTCTGGCCGGCCAGGTTCCTGGGAGCAGGTCTGGAGAGCCCGGGCGAATGAGGCTGGGGGTGAATTGTACCCGCAGCAGGCCGGGCCCTGTACCTGACGACCTTAGGTCACCTGTGCTGTTCTTATCCCGATGTTAGGGGCACCCAGCTGCACTGGGCTCCTTCGACTTGTCTGTCCCGTGTGCTGCAAGATACAGTCTCAGAATTCTTTCTTCCCAACCGACCCTCTCCTTGGGGGGCCATCTGAAGTGCCTTACCAGTCCCCTCGTATTCATCATTGCCTTTCAGTCTCTTCCTCCCCAAGAAACTTAGTGATTTTCAATGTTAATATGCATAAATGTCATCTGGGAAAATTGTTAAAGTTGCATATTTTTTTAAAGATTTATTTATTTATACAAGAACCAGGGTACAGGCCTGATGCGCAGGAGGATGAGGGGACTCACCAGAGACAGGGTGGGGAAAAGAACAGGCAGACAAAATACACTGCTGAAGGTAGCAGCAGGCAAGACAGGAGCGGTCTGCTGTGCCATGTGGGTTTCTCCTCCCCCACCCCCCACCCTGGCTGGCCGGGAGTCAAACCCTTGCTGCAGAGGCTGCAGACAGATTCACAGTGTGGCTCTCAACCGCCTGGCCACCAGGGAGGCCCTAAAGTTGCATATTTTGATTTAGGAACTCTGGGGTGAGGCCTGCAATTCCGTAAGTTTCTAACAAGCTCTTGGAAAATATGCTGTCGGTCCACGGCCCACACTTTGAACAACTTGATTCTAAATAGTTTCTTACCTTTCTCCTGGCTCTGTGCCCCTTCAGTTTGTCCTAATTTCACATATATAACTAGTATAACTCGCTCCACTGGTGTATGGGTGGAAAATTGGTCCTCTTGCTCCTAATAAACATAGCTTCCTTTTGTGATTCAGCCTTGCTTGTCCAGCTGCCTACACAGGCTGGGCCATCACAGTAATTCAGGGAAGGATAATTCCATGCAGCATCTCACTTTGGCTCCCTCCTCAGTAGGCTCTCTAACAACCTGCCATTGCACCCCAGGCAGCAAAAAGAGCTAGGAGGGGAGGGAGTTTCACCATTAGAGGCACTTGTGTCAAAACCGTCCTCTCCCCGTTTTTTGTTGTGCCTGGGGTCACTAACCTAGACTTTTTTCCTCAAGTTTTATTTCTCAGTTCTGTGCCAGAGTAACTTTAGTCCTCTGCCATCCCCTTTCCCCTAAGCTAAATACTGCGATTCTTGGAATTCCTGGGCTCCTGTTGAAAATTAATCCACCTTTTCTCACTCCCTCTTCCCCTTTCCATTTCAGAGATTTCTAAGAAAAGGGAAAGAAGTCTAGGTTTAATTACACCCTAATTCCCAAAGATTGCCAATTTGTATTATGTGTGCCTTAACTGAGAGATCCACTCCAATGGCCTTTCAAAGATCAGTTTCTCTCAAGTGTAAGAAACTACTCTGCTACAAATGTATTGCTTTGTAACATTCTCTTATTGGTTTTTGTGTGTATGTTTCAGTTCCAACAGACTCTTTTATGTGTTATCTCCTCCACTCACTCATTTAACAAATATTTATTGAGTACTTGCTGTGTTCCTGGCAACATGCTTAGAACTGGTGATACATAGATGAATGAGACAGAAACAATTCCTGCTGTCTTGGCATTTAGAGTCAGTCTCACCCAGGAGGACAAGCCCTTATGTGGTGGCTTGTGAGAGCTTCTATGGGAGTGAGATTAGGGAATATTCCCTGAAGATGAGATATCTTCAGGGGCTTCCCTGGTGGCGCAGGGTTTAAAGTCTCAGCAATGTCAAGCTATTGCCAGCCGCTGCAGCATGGATTGGATCCCCAGCCAGGAAACTGACCCACATGGTGCAGTAGACATTTCCTGCCTTGCCCACAGATCCCCTCAGCAGTGTATTTCAGTAGATCCTCCTGTTATGCTCCCCACTCTGTCATTGGTGAATCTTCTCACCCACCCACCCACCCCCACCTCTGGCTACACCCCAGTTCTTATATGAATAAATCTTAAAAAAATAAACAATGTGGGGTCTCCCTGGTAATGCAGGGATTAAAGACAGAGCTATCAAGCTATCACCAGCCACTGCAGCATGAGTTCGATCCGATCTGGCCAGGGAGATAACCCCATGGCGCAGCAGACCTCTCTTGCCTCGCCCGCTGCTCCCCTCAGTAGTGTATTTCAGTCTATCTGCCTCTTCTGCTCCCCACTCTGTCTCTGGTGAAGCCTCTCACCTCCCCCCCTCCGGCCTATACCCCAGTTCTTGTATGCATAAATAAATAAAATAAATCTTAAAAAAAAAAAGAATGAGTTAGAACTGAACCTGGGATGGGGGTGTGGGGCTGAGAGAAGAAACCAGTAGAACCAAGCAAACACTGAATTAATTTAAGTGGTTACCTGTCTCTTTAGGTGATCTTTTTGAAGGAGAAAGTAAGTTGGGCTTGAAGGCAGTTAGTTAGGGCCACTAGGGCCTTAGCCTTGAGACAGCACTCTGAAACAAGCTGAAATGAAAGACATTCTGTAGGTTGCCCCAGCACCATACAGCAACACCTACATGGGCCAAGATCAGCGCCCTCGCACATTCCAGGAGATATCCTCTGGCCAAGGAGACCCCAGCTCCGGGGCTCCACAGATAGCCAGAATCAACTAGATAAGAACCTGTCTTGAATTCTGCCAATCCAAGAAGACACAATACAGAGCACTAATCTCCCCCCTCCCCCCACAACTCCACCTTTATTTCAAATAAAATATATAAATCCATGCTTCTTGCCCCTAGAGGCTACCCACTTGGGACCCCTGTCTTTTCACAAAATGTCCTGTCCTCCTCCTTATCTGACAATAAATTTCTTGTTTTTCTGCCTCACTCTAGCTTCAAGGTTGAATTCTTTCCTCACCAAGACAAGAACTGAGTAGTCCAGCTCCCAGACTCCAGCCTGGGTGACATTCACAGTTCTGATTATAAAAACAAACACAGGCACTGACACCCCTAAAAACACAATCCAAATCATGCAAAAAAATTTTTTTGACTTTTGAAAAGACCCATCAAAATGAAAACTTTATAAATTTTTTAAAAAGATTTATTTATGCATAGAAGAACTGGGGTGCAGGCCAGAGGAAGGGGGAGTATTCACCAGAGACAGAATGGGGAACAGAATGGATGGATTGACTGAAATACACTGCTAAGGGGAATAGCAGGCGAGACAGGAGAGGTCTGCCGCAACATGTAGGTTAGCTCCCTGGCTGGGGATTGAACTCAGGCTGCAGTAGGCAGTGATAGCACTGAGACTTAACCCCTAGGCCATCAGGGAGGGCCCTCAAATTTAAGTTTTATAAGAGGACTCAGTTCCCAGAGAAGACCTGTGTGGATCTGTTAATCCCTTACTCCATCCCTCCCCCTTCACACACCCCTAGCCCCCCCAGCCCAGATCTGAGTTTGAGAAACACAGGGCTGACCCTACAGGAAGAGGTGTGACTCATAAATGGAAAAGAAGAGATTTTTCCATGAAGCACTACTGTGTGAATGTTGACTGTCTCGTACTGCTTGCTCTAGCCCCTGGAGTCTCACTGTGCCAGGCTTTCAGTTCTCTGAGGATAATCACCAAAGAATTAAGAAGGAGGAGAGAACAAACCAGGACAGTTATATCCCCAGGTCTAGCTAGAGATTGTGGAATGAATCAGAAGAAGGCACATTTTAAAAAAGGGATGAGAAGTGGAAAATTGCTTATCTGTTGGGGTGGGGGCTGAGGAGTAAGGATGAGATACTGTTTCCTCTCTCTTTCCCTTAAAGATTTGGGAATAAAATGGGAGAAGCAGTTATGAAGGAACGAAATAAAAAGGAATCTTTTCCCCAGGTGACTGGATTCAGTCCCATTCTATCTGCTCCTGTTACCTGAAGTCTAGAGCTTGGGCCACCTGTCACCACCCAATGCCAATAAAATAGACACAGGAATTGAATCTTTATTTTTTTTTAAAAGATTTATTTATTTATTTATACAAGCACTGGGTACAGTCAGAAGCGCAGGAGGGTGAAAGGATTCACCAGAGCCAGAGCCGGGGAGCAGAACAGGCAGACTGACAAAATACACTGCTGAGGGGAGCAGCAGTCACGGCAGGAGAGGTCTGCGCGCCATGTGGGACCCTCACCCAGCAGCCAGGGATTGAAACAGTGCTGCAGAGGCTGCAGGCAGCTTCACAACCCAGCGCTCAACTGCTGCGCCACCAGGGAGGCCCAAGAATTGAATCTTTAAATCACACTTTAATCAGACAGCCAGCAATCTGGAAGACAGGGGGTTAACACCCCAAAGAAACCGCCTTCACATTTCATTTCTAGTTGGCTTTTTATAGTGAGTTGAACAAAGACAGTTCGCCAGTGAGCAGGTCTTCACCGCTGCCAGGAGCTCATAATGTCCATCCAGGCCCCAGAACTCCTTATCGCCCTCCTGCACACCTGGACACACGCTTGTCCCCCTGTGCTGAGGCTGGTCTTCAGATAGCACTGACTCCCTGCACTCCTCCAGATGTGTCCTTGGGCTGGAAAATTAACTCAGGGCAGACAGGCCCTAAACAATATGTATGTGCAGGGTTCTTACTATACTGTGCATGCTGTCTTACTAGACCCCCTCTCCCCCCAGTCCCTTTCGCTCCCTCTTCCTTTGCTCTTGCAGGGACTAAGCTTACCAACACCAAATTTTATGGATGCAGCTGAGACATGACTTACCTTGTTTTTAAGACATTTCCACAGCCTCGGAGAGAAGGACGGAAGAGAGGAATAGAGGTTCCAGAAACCTCTGGTAAGAGTAAGATTATGGGGCACTCTAGATAAAAAAATAAAAAGTCAGAGATATCTTGAAGAATAGAAAGACTTGG